CACAAATGTTTAGCACACGTTTGGTCAAAGAATCGGCTTCACTTGTCTCTTTGACGAGTTGTTGTGTGGTTCTAAGAATGGCGATACTCACAGACGATTGCGACTACGATGCCGGCGAAGCGTTTGGGAATTTACCACGTCCACGGTTCAACTTTGGAAATGATCATGCAGACAATGATTATGACCGGAAACGCGAATAACCCGGGTAGAAGGGGAGATATCAAAATTGCTAGCACATGTTTGATCAAAAGATCGGCTTCACTTGCCTCTTTGACGAGTTGCTGTATGGTGCTAAGAATTGCGATACTCACTGAGGATGTATGCGAAATTTTTGGGAATGTACCACGTCTACGGTTCAACTTTCGAAATGATCATCCAAACAATGAACTCCGAACTAGATGCGCTCCTCTAAGTCTTCCTACCAATATGACCATGTTGCGAAAACAAGGTCAAACAATTTCTATACAACGAAAGGAGACTGACCACACAAAAGGCCACACCATCTTGGCCTTTATACCATAATCAACTATATTTGATTAGGATGCAGGGTACATTACTTATTATTATGCTCATTAGCATTGATGGTGTCTAGATTTGTGAAAATAAGCACACTTCTTATTAATTTTATAGCACTATCTATATAATACTGCATTTCTTCCTTAATTGTTTATCCAGAGCATCAAATTCGGACTTGCAGTCCCGAAATGCTTTATTAGAACGTGAAGTGAGAAAACTTCGGGATCGCCTTTTTCAGACTGTTCAACAAGCCAGCGAGTGCTATGCAAAACTGAAGAAGAAGGCATTACATGAACAACTCAGTTGCCTCGAAAATGAAGTTAAACGCTTTGAAACAGGCAAGTTGCCTCCTCCACTGGCTTATCTACCAGTTCCTAAAATTGTATTAGCTCGTGATATTATATATTAGCCTTTTTTACAGAAACTAACTTCAAGATCTCAGATTACTATTTTGGCTCCATACATTATTTTCTCATTATTACTATAGTAAATATAATAATTTTATATAATTTTGTCTGATATTGGGAAATCATCCATTATATTTATGTGAGTTTGACTGACTGCCTCTGATAGCTTTTTGCCTTCTATACTTTATTGATTCATAGTTTGCTTCCTTGTCAAAATGGATTAGGAAGCTGCTTAGAACTAGCGCATTATTATCGAAAGTCATGGCAATACCTGCCCTGAACTTTATGCAAAATAGAGGGGTTCAGTGTCATGAATTGGAGTCTTTGACATCTTTTTTTTCAACTTCATAGAAGGTATATTCCTGTCAATTCATCTTTATTCTTCTAAAATATACATTTTTCCAAGTTTAAAACCGCCAAATTTTTTGTTTAAAGCTTTATGGTCGGTTCATGCAGTAAGGGAAATACCGTTTAGTCAACCTCTCCAAAATGCATCCCAATGGGAACTTGCACCCACCATATGAGCAGGATCATTCTCAGCATACCTCGTTTTACGGATATAGTAGGTGCTAAAAAATCACTTTAATTCTTCCTACCAGAGCGCAATACACATCATTTTGGGTTGTATATATTAGTAGCTCTTCCATTGTTAACCAATATTATGAGTAGGATGCCTTTGACTTTGGTGCAGTGCTCAACTTAGGATCTTCGATCCAAATCTTTCCATTTTCTACTTCGCATGTCAGGCTTCCAAAATATTCGCTTTGCTGAAGGCTTTTCTGATAAAGAGAACGCCTGCTTGCCGACAAATGACTACCCTCAACCTGCTTCTTTACAGAACAAATCTGGGGGACCGCCTTCTATTGCCTCCTCCGACCTAGCTCCAGAGGTGTTTTTCCGCTGGGAGTTAGATAGTGCAGTTTCTAATTCTTCCAAACCTCCCAAATCTGCGTTAGTGCCAGAACAACCCCAGTCTTATAGCCAGAGTCAACTTGCTAATCCCGATGCTCCTGCATCAGTAGCAGATTCAGCCGAACAGAAGCAAGCAGTGGAATGTCAACAGTCATAGTCTGCGCAGATTGACGCATATTGCCATCAATTATGAGGACTTTGTGGGTTGACAATTGATTATTTTGGCTAGTTTACTTTGTTCCTACCAAATACACACTTTATTTCACTGATCACTTCCATATTTTCATCCTACTCTTTTACTGACGGATTTTTAATTGAAAATGAATAAATCTTAAAATGTTTAGCTTGGTGATCAATGATACATGCCGCCATGGTCTATCTCCTATAATCACTTCACTAGGCTAGATATTTTGTGTATATTGTATTATTCTTTTGATCTCCAAACGCTGACGCTTAATTTTTTTCCATAAGACTTATCCCACTGACTTTTATGCTACAATTCGTAATTCCTTTCCAAACTAATTTGATTTTTTCTGAAACCTTCTGCAATCACGGATGAGAGTCTTCTTAACCTTAATTTTAATATAGGGTGTCGTGACATTTATTCTCATTCATATTTTTCTTGTAATAAAAGCCTTTTTATTCGGTGCTACCCTTCTTCGCATTATCTATCTTTGTAAGCATTTCTAAGTCTATTTCAAAGGCCTTCTCTTTCTATTCTCTGTGCTCTCGTTTACCAGCTCTATATTTATCATATCACTGATTATTATTTTAATTTGTATCTAGCATTTCTTTAGAATGATACTTCATTTTAAAAGGCCTATTTAATTCCTCGTAAATCTTTTCACATTTTAACTGGATCTCATTATATGTCTTCTTTTTAACTTATTACTCAAGTGGGATTTTAGCTCAATATATGTTTATCCAACTTTACGGTATCACTTATCCGACCTTAACACATCTTCTCGTATTTGAGTAGGGC